TATATACACATATATACATATTATACACATATATACATATATTATAGATACACATATATACATTATATATAACATTTTTTTTTTTTTCAACACAGGTCGCCGTCTCCAACCGAGGCAGGGTGACCCAAAAAAGAAAGAAAATCCCAAAAAGAAGAAAATACTTTCTCATCATTCACACTTTCACCACACTCAAAGGTAGACATTATCACTGTTTATGCCCTAGGAGGTTGCTCAGAATACAACCAGGTCTAGAAGCATACACATATAAGATAACACAACATACCCCTCCAATCTGCCAATATCCCAAACCCCTCCTTTAAAGTGCAGGCATTGTACTTCCCATTTCAGGACTCAAGTCGGCTTTATGAAAATAAACCGGTTGCCCTGAATCCCTGTCACTAAATATTACCCTGCTCACCTCCTACAGATCGTCAGGTCCCAAGTACCATTGTCTAATTCACTCTATCTAACACGTCACGCCGGCTTGCTGAAGTCGAAGCCCATTACCCCACAAAACCTCCTTTACCCCCTCCTCTCCAACCTTTCGAGGGACGAACCTACCCCGCCTTCCTTCCCCTATAGATTTATATGCTTCCCATGTCATTCTACTTGATCCATTCTCTTTCTAAATGACCAAACAACCTCAACAACACCTCTTTCTGCCCTCTCTGACTAATACTTTTATTTACTCCACAACCTTCTCCTAATTTCCACACTACGAATTTTCTGCATTAATATTTACACCAATATTTGCCCTTAAACAGGACTCTACACTGCCTCCAACGTCTCCTCGCCTGCTGCCATTTTCACCCAAGCTTCACACCATATAAAGTGTTGTTGTACTATATACTTTCCATACATTCCTTCTTTGCCTCCATAGATAACGTTTATTTGACTCCAATATACTCAAAGCACCACTTCACCTTTTTTCCTCAATCAATTCTATGATTAACCTCATCCTTCATAAATCCATCCGCCGACACGTCAATCCCAAGTATCTGAAACATTCACTTCTTCCATACTCTCCTCCCCAATTTGAATCTCAATTTTTTTTATCTAATCATTTGACACCCTCATCACCTTTACTCTTTTCTATGTTCACTTTCAACTTTCTACCTTTACACACATCCCAAACTCATCCACTAACCTTTGCAATTTTTTCTTTAGATTCTTCCATAAGCACGTATCATCAGCAAAAAGTAACGGTCAATTCCCATTTGAATTTGATTACCCATAATTTAATCCCACCCCTCTCCCAAAACCCTAGCATTGAACTTCTTCCTGTACAACCCCCTCTATAAATTATTAAAAACCATGGTACATTTACACATCCCTGTCTAAGACCTACTTTTACCGGGAAGTAGTCTCCCTCTCTTCTACACACCCTAACATGAGCTCACATCCTCATAAAAACTTCTTTACAGGCATTTAATAACTTACCACCTATTCCATTATTACTTGCAACATCTGCCACATTTGCTCCTCTATCCAATTATTATATGCTTTTCTAAATCCATAAATGCCAATAAAAACTTCCCTATTCTTTTATCTAAATACTGTTCAATATATGCTTCAATTAAACACGATCTACACATCCCCTACCCACTCTAAAACCTCTCTTGGTCATCCGCAATCCTACATTCTGTCTTACCTCTATTTTCTTTCAATTATATCCCTACCGTCACTTTCCTGTATACTCAGTAAGCTTATTCCTCTATAATTTTTACAGTCTCTTTTGTCCCCTTTCCCTTTATATAAGGGACTATCATTGCTTCTGCCAATCCCTAGGTACCTCCCCTCTTTCATTACATTTATTAAAAAAAGTACCAACCACTCCAACACTTTATCCCCCCTGCTTTTAACATTTCTGTTCATGATCCCATCAGTTCCAGCTGCTTTACCCCCTTTCATTTTAGTAATGCCTAACGTACCTCCCCCACACTTACATTCTGCTCTTCTCACTCTAAAAGATGTATTATACCCTCCCTGACCCAGTGCTGAAATTACTGCCTTCCCCCGGTTTCTTCCTTAAAACATTTAATAGTTCCTCAAAAAATATATCGCCATCTACCATTAACCTCCATCTCCCCATCTACTAACTACCCTACTCTGTTTTTAACTGACAAATCCAATTTTCCTAGGCTTTCTTAACTTGTTCTAATCACTCCAAAAATTTTTTCTTATTTTTCATAAAATTTCTAGACAGTGCCTCTCCACTCTATCATCTGCTCTCCTTTTGCACTCTCTCCCACTGACTTTACCTGTTTCTTTTACCTCTCCCATATACTTGCTCTTTATAACAGTTCTGCTTTGTAAAAAAAACCTCTCATAAGCTACCTTTTTCTCTTTTTCACACCCTTTACTTCATCATTCCACCAATCACTTCCGCTTTCCTCCTGCCCCACCTCCTATAACCACAAACTTCTGCCCTCCACATTGCTAATACTGCATTTTAAAACTTTCCAAACCCTCTTCAACCCCCCCACTACTCATCTTAGCACTAGCCCACCTTTCTGCCAATAGTGCTTATATCTCACCCGAAATTCCTCCTCCCTTAGTTTATACATATTCTCCACCCCCTCTACTTGTTGTTGCCACCATTCCTCTTTCCCATCTACCTCTTACTCTAACTGTAGCTATGATCTAAATAAGGATCGATATTCTGTTGCCCCTCTATAAACATGTACAATCCTGGAGCCTACCATCAACCTTTATCCACCAATACATAATCTAATTTAAACTATTTCATTCGTGCTACATCATACCTTGTATTATTTATTTTTACCTCACCTGTTTTTCATAAAATATGATAATTTTACAATATTTCTTTCTACACAAGCTCAATTAATGGCTCCCCATTAACATTTACCCCTGGCACCCCATATTTTACCTCTACTCCTTCCATAACATTTTTACCCACTTTAGCGCATTTGAAATCCCAACCACCATTACTCTACACTTGATTCAAAAACTCCCACGCATCACTCAAACATTTCCCAAAATCTCTCTTCTCATCTACACTTCTCTCTTCTCCTGGGTGCTTACACCTTATTATAACCACTTTTCACATATATATTTATATACATATATATAATATATATACATATTATACATATATTACACAATTATATAAACATATATACAGGGACCCCCCGGTTTACGTATTATTTCATTCCAGAAGTATGTTCAGGTGCCAGTACTGACTGAATTTGTTCCCATAAGGAATTTTGTGAATTAGATTAGTCCATTTCAGACCCCCAAACATACAAATACAAATGCACTTACATAAATACACTTACATAATGGGTCGCATTGGGAGCTGATCGTAAACCGGGGGTCCACTGTATATATGTATATATATACATATATAAGGAGGGGTGTTAATGTTGCAGTTTAAAAACTGTAGTGTAAAGCACCCTTCTGGCAAGACAGAGATGGAGTGAATGATGGTGAAAGTTTTTCTTTTTCGGGCCACCTTGCCTTGATGGGAATCGGCCAGTGTGATAAAAAAAAAAAAATATATATATATGTATATATGGATGGATTTATGAAGGATGAGGTTAATCATAGAATTGATGAGGGAAAAAAGGTGAGTGGTGTGTTGAGGTATATGTGGAGTCAAAAAACGTTATCTATGGAGGCAAAGAAGGGAATGTATGAAAGTATAGTAGTACCAACACTCTTATATGGGTGTGAAGCTTGTGGTGGTAAATGCTGCAGGAGGAGAGCGAGACGGTTGGGGCCAGTGGAGATGTCCTGTTTAAGGGCAATGTGTGGTTGTAAATATTTGCAGATAATTCGGAGTGTGGAAAATTAGGAGAAGGTGCTGGAGTTAATAAAAGTAATGAGGTCAGAGGGCAAGAAGAGGGTTGTTGAGGTGGTTTGGTCAATTTAGAGAGAATGGATCAAAGTAGGATAGAATGACATGGAAAAGCATATAAATCTAAGGGGAAGGAAGGCGGGGTAGGGGGTCGTCTCGAAGGGTGGGAGAGAGGGGGTAAGGAGGTTTTGTGGGCAAAGCGGGCTTGGACTTCAGCAAGCGTTTGCTGTGAGAGTGTTAGAATAGGGTGAATGGAGACGAATGGTACTTGGGACCTGACGATTGTTGGAGTGTGAGCAGGGTAATATTTAGTGAATGGATTCAGGGAAACCGGTTATTTATTTTCATATAGCTCGGACTTGAGTCATGGGAAAAGGGAAGTACAATGCCTGCCACTTTTAAAAGGAGGGGTTTGGGATATTGGCAGTTATGGAGGGATATGTTGTGTATATTTATATGTGTATGCTTCTAGACTGTTGTATTCTGAGCACCTCTGCAAAAAACAGTGATGAAATGTGAGGAGTGTGGTGAAAGTGTTGAATGATGATGAAACGTATTTTCTGTTTGGGGATTTTCTTTCTTTTTTGGGTCAACCCTACCTCGGTGGAGACGGCCGATTGTTGAAAAAAAAAAAAAAAAATGTAATATATAGTGTGTGGGTGTGTTGTGTAGTGTGTGTGTGGGTGTGTGGTGTGTTGTGTGTTTGTGTGTGTGTGTGTGTGTGTGTGTGTGTGTGTGTGTGTGTGTGTGTGTGTGTGTGTGTGTGTGTGTGTGTGTGTGTGTGTGTGTGTGTGTGTGTGTGTGTGTTGTGTGTGTGTGTGTGTGTGTGTGTGTGTGTGTGTATATATATATATATATATATATATATATATTATATATAATATATTTACATATATATTATATATATATATATAATATATATATATATATATATACACAACAACACATCCAATACACCAGTGAAAAATACTCTGATTTACTTGAAAAATTATACTGAAAGAAGACCTTACTTTCTACATTACAGGAACGAAGATTCAGCCAGTTTGCACAAAAAAAGGCAGAAAAAATAATGATTTTAGTAGTCAATGCCCTCATAAAAAAGAAAATTGTGCTCAGAAAAAACAAAAATATATATACACACAAAAGAATTAATATTAATTTGAACAAATGATTACTTTACCATCTCCAGGATTTCATCCTTGTACTTTGGTTTTCTTTCAGTTTCATCATCGTCATCTTCATCATCCTCTTCACTATCTTCCTCCTCATCCTCATCTGAATATTCTTCATCTGAATCTTCATCTTCCTCAGAATCATCATCTCCCTCTCCTTCAGGAGGGGGCGTAAATCTCTTCAAAGGACGAGGACCTGTCAAGAAAAGTAAATTTTTATTCAACATAAAACAGCACTCTATAATAAGATACTGGTAATAAAGTCTTAGCAAGACTTTCTCATAAGCCAGTTCAATTTTGGAAGCAAGTAGTGGAACTGGCAACCAGCATGATCAGATGATGTAGTGGTGACAGGGAGGGAGGCAGGGGAGGGCCAGAATGTCTGGTGAGTCGGAGGTAGGGGAAAGAGCAGCATGTCTGGTGAGAGGAAGGAAGAGAGGTTAGGGGTGAGAATATTAGATATCACATACAGCAGCCTGCCTGCCTGGCAAGACTGCCTGCCTGGCAAGTCTGCCTGCCCGGCAAGTCTGCCTGCCCGGCAAGTCTGCCTGCCCGGCAAGTCTGCCTGCCCGGCAAGTCTGCCTCCCTGGCAAGTCTGCCTGCCTGGCAGGCCAAGCAGGGTGGCCTACGGCTTACCTGGAGTTTACCTGGAGAGAGTTTCGGGGGTCAACGCCCCCGCGGCCCGGTCCGTGACCAGGCCTCCTGGGTGGATCAGCGCCTGATCAACCAGGCTGTTGCTGCTGGCGCCACGCAAACCAACGTACGAGCCACAGCCCGGCTGATCAGGAACTGACTTTAGGTGCTTGTCAGTGCCAGCTTGAAGACTGCCAGGGGTTGTTGGGTAATCCCCCTTATGTGTGTGGGAGGCAGTTGAAACAGTTCTCGGGCCACTGAACTTATTGTATGGTCTCTTAACGTGTATGACACCCCTGTTTTTTCATTGGGGGGAGGGTTTCGTCTGCCAAGTCTTTTGCTTTCTAGTGAGTGTTTTTTCGTGTGAAATTTGGGTACTAGTCCCTCTAGGTTTTTCAGGGTATATAATCAGTATCTCCCCTCCTCTTCCGGGGAAATACGGGTTTAGAAACCTCAAGCGCTCCCATAATTAGGTGTTTTTTCTCCTTTTTGCGCGCCCGGGAAAAATTTTCCCGTACATTTTCTAGGTCGGCAATTTCACCGCCTTGAAAGGGGCGTTAGAGGCAGCAATATTCCAGCCTGAGGAAAAGTGACCTGAAGGTTTTCATATGGTTGGCCCCCCCTATTTTAAAGGTTTTTCCATTATCCATCCTTCATTTTCCTAGAATGCGATTGTACATTTTTGGGCCTTAAAGGGTGGACCCTCCGACTAACACTCCCAGGTCTTTGACTTTGGTGTTTCGCTCTATTTTGGGGGCCAAATTTGTTTTGTACTTGATGAATTTTTAATTTTCCCCTCATTTTACCAATTAGTAATTGAAATTTCCCACGTTAAAAATTCATATTGTTTCTCACCCCCACTGAAAGATTTGGTTGATGTCCGCCGGGACCTTGCAGGTCGCAAGGGAAGACACTGTCATGCAGATTCGGGTGTCATCGCAAAGGAAGAACGGTCTGGGGCTGAACCTTTCTATGTCGGATATGAGGATGGGAACAAGATGGGAGCTAGTACTGTGCCTTGGGGGAACAGAGCTTTTCACCTAGCTCCCCTCGACTTTACTCTGTTGACGACACTCTCTGTGTTCTGTTATGGGGAAATTTATAATCTATCACCGATTTTTCCCCTGTTTTTTCCTTTAGCGCGCATTTTGGGTCCATTACCCCATGGTCACATTTTCGAAGGTTTTGCAAAGTCTGTAATATACTCGCTTCTTTTTTGTTTTCTTAGGTGTTTTTTGGGACCGGGTCGTGTGATCCATATTGAACAGAAGGAGCGACCTGTTCTAAACCCTGTGCCCGGGGTTTTTAACGGGGGGTTTCTAATGGGTGGTGTCTTGCTTTAGGCCCCTTTCAAAAGATTTTTATGATATGGGATTTTTAGTGCTTTTTGGTCTGTAGTTCTTTGCTGTTGCTTTTCCCCGCCCCCTTTTTGGAGTGGGGGATGTCGTTTGTTTTTAGACGGGGGCGACCCCCCTTCCATCCCCTCCCATAGGATGGAAAAGGCTCGGAAGGGGTTCTTCAGTTCTTATGAAACAGAATTTCCCTGAGTCTGGCCCTGGGGCGAGTGCAGGGGATGTCATTTTCGCCTGTTCGAAGTCATTTGGGGGTCAGGATAACTCGGATAGGCTTGTGTTTAAAAAATTTTGTGGCTCTCTCATAAAAAATTCATTTTTATCTTTTGACTCTCAGTCTGGTTTTGCGGTTGCTAAAAAATAGTCATATTGGGGCTTGAGTAGCTCACTCATTTCCCTTTCGTCATCGTGTAGCCCATCTTTTTAAATAGGGGCCCCCAATACTGGCGTTGTTCTCGATTTTGATTTGGCATAGGAGAAGAAAAATTGGGTTTTTTCGATTTTTTATTTATACTTTTAGTTTTCCCGCGTTCCTACTCCTAAAGGATTCTTTTTTGCTTAATTCGATGCTTGCATTTTCGACCAGTGTCTCCCCGCGATTTTAGATATATTGACCCCTTTTACCGCTTGTTATTCTTTTCGTGCCGTAAAAAGGGGGCGCCTGTCTCTTTTTATTTACATTTCCCCACTCCCTTTTTCTTTGAGGAAAAACCTTGTCATACATCGGTGCCACTGGTTTAAACTGTTCTAGGGATAAGTTTTTGGGGGGTGTTGCTTAGTATATCTTCCCAGCTTATATCGGTTAGGAAATTGTTTACTTGGTCCCCCTTTAGTTTTTTTTATTGAAGTTGATTTGGTGAATCTCCCCCGTGACTAGTCTCATTTTGTCGGTCTGGGGCTCCTCGCATACATGTCTGAACCTCAATTATGTTGTGATCTGAGTATATTGTTTTTGATATGGTGACATTTCTTATCAGATCATCATTGTTAGTGAATATGAGGTCTAGTGTATTCTCCAGTCTAGTAGGCTCTATTATTTGCTGGTTTAAATTGAATTTTGTGCAGAGATTTAAAAGCTCGTGTGAGTGTGAGTTTTCATCAGAGCTGCCTCCTGGTGTTATTTCTGCAACAATATTATTTGCTATATTCCTCCATTTTAGGTGCCTTAAGTTGAAATCCCCCAGGAGCAAGATGTTGGGTGCAGGAGCTGGAAGATTTCCAGACAGTGGTCAATTTTTAAACAGCTGTTCCTGGAATTGCTGGGTGTTGCATCCGGAGGCTTGTAGACTACCACAATGACTAGGTTTTGGTTCTCGACCTTTACTGCTAAAACTTCCACTACGTCATTTGAGGCATTAAGCAGTTCTGTGCAAACAAGTGACTCTGCAATGTACAGGCCAACCCCCCCCTTTTGCCTGTTCACTCTGTCACATCTGTATAGGTTGTAACCTGGGATCCATATTTCATTGTCCAAGTGATCCTTTATGTGGGTCTCAGTGAAAGCCGCGAACATTGCCTTTGCCTCTGCAAGCAGTCCACGGATGAAAGGTATTTTGTTGTTTGTTGCTGGCTTTAGACCCTGTATATTTGCAAAGAAGAATGTTATCGGACTGGTGGTATTGTTGGTACTGGGGGGGGATTTTTTTTCCGGCATTAGTATCTGTATCTGTTGGTTTGGAGTGGAGGCCAGGAGGCTCAGGAAACAATGAAACTAAACAAGTGCTGGAGTCGTCAGGTAGCTTAATACTTCAGAAGATAACCAGACACTATCATTTTATTATTTATTAACACATCGACCGAGTACCACCAAGGCAGGATGGCCAGAAAAAGAAAAACTTTCATCATCATTCACTCCACTATCTTGCCAGAGGGGTGCTTTACACTAGTTTATAAAACTGCAACATTAACACCCCTCCTTCAGAGTGAAGACATTGTACTATCAATATGGACAAAATCCAGAATTACAGACTTTTGTCCATTTTGTCCAATACTTCTGTTTGTCTGGTAAATTTTTCTTTGTCGAAAATTGCCAAAGTAAAATTATAAGAGGTTTTACTGTAAAATAGGGCTCAATTTTTTACAATTTTCCTGAAGACGGTTAGGGCTCCCTATTCCCCTTGGTTTATTTTATGGGTTTTTCCTAGGTTTGCTCCCAATATTGGGATGGCCTAAACCATGACCAATCATTTTTGGTTTTACAGGTTAGATCTTTGATGTTTAGTGTGATGATGGATTCAAAATGGAGGACAAAAGAGGTCTGGGGATGTGATTAATGAACAGAGGGAACATGGCTGTAGTGACTGGGATGCCTACAGTGTTCAATTTGGACTTTAACCCTTTGGGGGTCGACAGGTCCTCTCAGAGACTTGTTCTCAGGGTCGGCCAAATGGAAAAAAAAAAAAAAAAAAAAATCTTGTGAAAGGATAGAGAATCTTTTCCCAATCATAATGACACCAAAAGTATGAAATTTGATGGAAAACTTACGGAATTATGCTCTCGCGAAGTTAGCGGTCTTGATGATGTTTACACATCGGCGATTTTGCCCATTTTGAGCCCTATTTTCGGCCAATTCCAGTGTACTAGTTGACAAAAATCGTAACTATTTCGCTAAAACTCCATTTTTTCTATCGAATGAGTACAAGAAACCACCCATTTACTGATTTCAACTATCCAATAAAGTGTTCAGAATTTAGCAATTTTGCCAATTTCACACAAATTTCAAAAGATGCCAATTTCTGACTAGGGTCCAGAATAAACAAGAAAGACATTTCTGACACTAAAATAACAAGTTCTCTGTTCGTTAGTCACATCCCCAGGCCCCTCTTATATTTCTTTGGCTTTCCACTTTGAATTTTTATTCTTACAAAAAAAATAAGATTTACTGTTATGCAGACTACTGCATTAGTGTAGAAATGGTATAAATAATATCAGCGCACTTGTAAAAGAATATTAGACTCGCCAGTTGATGTGTATTGGACGCTTGGCATGATTTGTTTACTTTTGAACTTTGGTAAAAATCGAACATTTCTGCTACTTTGAGTTCAATTTCAAGGTACTTTTCATTGTAAAACCAGTCAAAATCATCTCAATTTCTGTAATATGTCTTCGATTCTATAAAATGAGACCAAGAAACTAGATTACAACAATAAACACCATACGAAAATACAGTGCAAAGTCGCTGTTTTACTCCCAAAACACTGTCTAAAGTTTTTTTTTTATCATTACGCACTGTGTGCTGCAAGATTTTTTTTATACCGTGTACACTGACCACATAGACCCATTCTTACATATGTAGGCCTACCAGCTTTCTCTCACTAGATTTAAGGGCGCTAGAATTTAGGCGTACTAGTACGTCAAAAACCCTGGGTCTTAAGACGTACTAGAACGTCCGAAACCCCCAAAGGGTTAAAACTGAAATTTGTTGAATTTTGTGTAAAATTGGACAAATTACCAACTTCTGGGTGATTTATAGCATAGTTCTGATAGTTGAATGGGCACTTTCTTATATTCAATTACTAGAATGGAATGCATACTAGTGAAATAGCAAGGAATTTAATCAAGTTAAACAATGGAATTGTTTAAAATAGGACTCACAGTAAGCAAAATTGTGCTCAAATTACCACCTGCGTAGTTTCATAAGTGTTCCATTAAATTTTAAATTCTAAGTGACAATACCTTCATACAAAGATTCTATATCATTACAGATTTTTTTTTTTTTTTTTTTAAATCGCAACACTGTCAGCAGCACTTTAATTTTGGAAATTAAAAAGATTAAAAGACTAACAGGGAAAGGGGTTAGGTCTGTATTAGTTGTATCATTATATTGTACAAATAAAGATTATTATTTTAACTATACATGTACAGTGGAACCTCTGGTCACGAATGCTTCCAAACACAAACAAATTGGTTCACGACCAAAAAATTCACCAAATTTTTGCATCTGGTCACGAACGCATAATGGAGTGCCGAACAAACACACCTACACCAATTTTCACATTCTGTGCCATTTTTTTTGCACGTGCCAATTTTTCCCACTTCCTGTTGTTTGTGTACACCTAACAAAGACCCTCACCTTTTAGTCGCTCATTTTCATCAATTATCTCCAAGTAATTTATTCATAAATTACAGTAATTTTGACCATGATAAATTTGGATTAGCGATGTTTTATCAGCAGGTAGTGCACAAACAGCTTCTCGTACATATTTTTTTTCTCAGTCGTTTGTTGAGCTATCTTATTGAAACTTGGGCAATGTATGATGGAAAGATGCTTAACGTACACCAAAAATGAAAAAAATCAGAGTTCATTTCTCAGCCATTAGACGTCTCTTAAAACTCTTAAAAAAAGAAAAAAAAAATCTGTTTACAGCGAACAGTTCACGGGGGTCTAGAACAGACTCGTGCAATGTTAGTTTTCTCTGTTGTTTAAGATTTTTACATTTAGTTTACTATTACACTGTGCATTCTATGGTATAATTAACTATTTTGTGCTTAAAAATCTTAAACAATATTTACATATAGTTTGTAGGGGTCTGGAATGGACTAATCATATTAAGATACAATCCAATGGAGAAATTAGGTTCAGGGCACGACCAAATCGGGTTGCGACCAGAGTTTTGGAATGAATTATGGTCGTGACCAGAGGTTCCACTGTATTTGTTATTATTCTCCATGGGAAAGTAGAACAAAATTCTTCCTCCGTAAGCCATGCGTGTCATAAGATGTGACTACAATGCGAGAGCAAAGGGCTAGTAACCGCTTCTCCTGTACATATTACTAAATTTAAAGAGAAACTTTCGTTTTTCCTTTTTTGGGCCACCCTGTCTCGGTGGGATATGGCCGGTTTATTAAAAGAATATTTATTATTATTATTTTTATTATTATAGTTTCTGAACCATCTGACTCAATGAATTTTGTCCTGTACAATATTTTCATAGTCTGTTAAGTCAAGGTTAAGTAGTGTAACTCAAATTCTTAATGAACCATAAGCAATCTGCACAATGTAATCTTTTTTAATATCACTATTATATATATAAACCATAAGGCCCACTGTGCTAGTGGCCTCTCTTATTTATATCTGATCACTCTTGCTTCATGACTACTCTGAATCTTTTACCATGGTCCTAGATATTTTGAAGCTTTTGGCAGGTACTGTATGTTACAAAGATTTACTATCCAAACTACCTTTGGTCAAATTTCCTCCCTTTCTCTAAGAATTAATTTCTGAAATCCATCTCCACTGTTAACTATGGCTCAGCTTCAGCATTTTTTCTCCCACCAATTATGGAGTTTACTCTTATTCTAATGACTGGATTTCCTTTCTTCAGCTTCACGTGAAGTTTCAACACTCATACTGATGGGGTAGATGCAGAGGTGATGACTGATGACATGGGCAATGGAATAAGATTAGAAAGAGTTGGGATTAAAACATGAGGCTTCTATTACAGGCTGATGAAATTATGCACACGAGTGAGATGGGAGAAGAATTACGAGATACTGCAAATGAAACTGATAGAATACATAAATAAGAAGAAACTAAAGGTAACAGATGATACGAGCAATATAGTGATTCTTGCTTCAGGGTTGACAAGTCTGAGATACAGATAAACACCATAATAAAAAAGTAACACTATTCAATAAAGTTGGTAGAATTACCGACAATATGTAAAGTAAAAGGACACAAGTGCAACTAATGTGACATTTTATTGTGGCAACGTTTCGCTCTCCAGCACATTACAGAGTGAATACTGAAACAGGCTGCCTCTTTCCAGTCTATATTTGTCCAACCTATTTTTATGTTACCCAAGTAATAGCGCTTTTATATCCTTTTACTCATGTACGAGTTAATTGCTCTACCATATTGTATTACTACTACTACTTTTGTCACTACTACTACTACTACTACTACCACTAGTGAACATCTAAATGGTACCTCACTAGTACTGCACCTCACTCTGAGCCTTTATATACCCTCTGTGTCCATGTATTGTTTGTAATGGCTTGATAAAGCTCCTGGAGAGCGAAACGTTGCCACAATAAAATGTCACGTTAGTTGCACTTGTGTCCTTTTACTTTACAACACTATTCAAGCTAAAGGAATTTATTCCAAGAAAGCCGAAATTAAAAAAGACAAAATTCTGTATCAGCTTTTGTCTTGAATAACTAATTCAGAAATCAAATAGTATACACAAATAACCTGCACATAAAGAAAGAAAAGCTTATGATGACGTATCAGTCCGTCTTGGGCGACGGCCGACTTGTTCAAAAAAAAAAAAAAAAAAAGAATTAGTGGGAGTTGTCACAGTTGCTCTTTGCTGATGACACTGTGCTTTTGGGAGATTCTGAAGAAAAGTTGCAGAGGTTGGTGGATGAATTTGGTAGGGTATGTAAAAGAAGAAAATTAAAAGTGAATATAGGTAAGAGTAAGGTTATGAGGATAACAAAAAGATTAAGTGACGAAAGATTTGATATCAGATTGGAGGGAGAGAGTATAGAGGAGGTGAATGTATTTGGATATTTAGGAGTGGACGTGTCAGCAGATGGGTCTATGAAAGATGAGGTGAATCATAGAATTGATGAAGGAAAAAGGGTGAGTGGTGCACTTATGAGTCTGTAGAAGCAAAGCAGGGAATGTATGAGAGTATAGTTGTGCCAACATTCTTGTATGGATGTGAAGCATGGGTGATGATAGTTGCAATGAGGAGGAGGCTGGAGGCAGTGGAGATATCATGTCTGAGGGCAATGTGTGGTGTGAATATAATGCAGAGAATTCGTAGTTTGGAAATTGGGAGAAGGTGTGGTATTACCAAAACTATTATCCAGAGGGCTGAGGAGGGGTTGTTGAGGTGGTTTGGACATGTAGAGAGAATGGAACAAAACAGAATGACTTCAAGAGTGTATAAATCTGTAGTGGAGGGAAGGTGGGGTAAGGGTCAGCCTAGGAAGGGTTGGAGGGAGGGGGTAGAGGAGGTTTTGTGTGCAAGGGGCGTGGACTTCCAGCAAGCATGTGTGAGCGTATTTGAAAAGGAGTGAATGGAGACAAATGGTTTTTAATACTTGATGTGCTGTTGGAGTGTGAGCAAAGTAACATTTATAAGGGGATTCAGGGAAACCGGCAAGCTGGACTTGAGTCCTGGAGATGGGAAGTACAGTGCCTGCACTCTGAAGGAGGGGTGTTAATGTTGCAGTTTTATAACTGTAGTGTAAAGCATCCCTCTGGCAAGACAGTGATGGAGTGAATGATGATGAAAGTTTTTCTTTTTCGGGCCACCCTGCCTTGGTGGGAATCGGCCAATGTGTTAAAAAAATAAAATAAATAAAAATATATATACCTCTATCTTCTTCTTCAGACTGCATCTCCATTCTCTTGAACATTTCAAGCACACTGCGAGTTTTTCGACAATCCACCTCATCTTCATAATTGTCTGTGCAGCGGATAAGGTTAGGGTCACGACCCAGCTCCTGCTCTTCTACATCAATACCCTGAAAAAAGTATCATAATAATTTTAAATTCAGGTATTTGATTATGTAAATTATATGATATTGCATATAACTGGAATAGGAAAGGAGAAGGATGATAAACATTGTCATAAGGTTGGATTATGTCAGGTCTGAAATCTATCATTATTAAACAAAAATATATATTGGAAAATTAGTTTGTATTATTGAACAGTTAATAAAGTCAATCACTGGGATGTTAGCCAAAGGTTTTTTGGTTAACATACAAATATATTCTGAAAATTGTAAAAAAATATGAGAATTAGTCATTTACAGGAGTTAAAATGAAAAGGAAGTTAATGTATTAATGGAGTTAGGAAGTTATACTGCTACAATTAGGGATATTAGAATATATATACTGTATGTCATAACTTTAATATATAGTGATGTCTTAAAAAAAAAGAGCAATGAAATACTGAATTCTGTCTTGTCTTTTGCTTTTGCACAAAAATAAAAATATTTACTGAAGATAATGAAAGCTTGAAACACCAACCACATACTGATATCACCTTTGTACTTAGAAACAACTATGAACACCAACACATTCTGAAATAAAATAATATTTTATTAGGTGTTCAAAATATTTTACTTAAATATGCTTCATAAAGTTGTAACACAAACTGGACTGTAAATATTGATATTTCTATGCCAGAGATCCGAGTTCAAATCCTTAAAATATTACCTAAGAATAAGAAACTAAAGTTTGAACAGGGATGGGACCATAAATTGATGATACAGAGTGTGACTCCCTATATTTAACTTCATTGGTACTACCATCCCAGCAGACACACACAAACACATTCATCAATTTGTTGCCTGTGGATTTTTCTTTACAGCACTGTAAACTTCTAATATTGGTAAGAGAATGGAGTTTAGTATTATATAAACAGAATATTTTTCAAGAATATAATTACTGTACCTTGAAATGTGGTAGTCTTCCTAATAAGGGTCAGCAGTATACTACACGAAATATATCAAACAAGTGCTGTGTTTAAAGTTAAAAACAAACTATGAATATGGAAAACAAATGGATCTAAAAACACTTGTTTATGAAAGTTTATGTACAACTGGATGCACAGCCATTTTGTACCAACTGGTCAAATCAGCCAAATTTTCTTTCAATTAGATTTTCTCAAAAAATTTAATTTTTAGAAATATTCATGAAACTAAACAGGCAATTTCTAAGATTTTTCCCAAAAATATTTCAACGCTAACTTTACCTTGCAGAATTACACATAATATTACTTAAAAAATGCCTAATTTAAAAAGTTAATCTGACAACAGAGTGAACATGAATGAGATGTTCAGTGAGGGCATAACAAGTTGGTATGAGATGCCAGTAAGAGATGGAGTCTGAACAGCATGACAACGATGTTTATACCGTGCGAGTCCATGACATGCATGGCAAAATGTCGAGGGGATCCCAAATGCCCCAAGAAGATACAGAAAATGTGTAATGTGAAGTGCAGTGGTTTGATATCCTACAATGTACAATGTCAGTGTCATGAAGTACAGTGCATTTGTACAGTCAGCTTGACAGTTTACATGACTGTGAGATACGACTTGACATACCATACAGGGAGGAATGCATTGTGAACAGTACCATGAAAGAAGTACTGTAGCACTATGACAATGCCACTGACAATCAGTGAAGTGAAGACTTGAGTCCTGTAATGGTATGTACAGTGATGCACTGAGGTGCTACTGTGAACAGTAATACTGTAATATATTGTGATAGCTATCAGTGACTAGTGCAAAGATGTATGGTCCAGTGTTGTGAAGTCTTGGTGCACCTCAAATATATATAGCCTCGCCTCACTTAGCGACGTACTCGCTTACCGACGACTTGGACTTGTGATGAGATCTGACCAGTTTGCACAGCTAAATAATGTATATTAGAGTTGATTTCCTCTATTCGTTTATTACAATATACAATACACTACTGTATAAATATTAAAAAATATACCAGAAATGTTATAAATGGTGCAAAGGTGACATTAAAACAATATCAAAGATGGTTGAGACAAACCCACTACCATTAGAGTAGGCTCCTTGCTTAGCGATGAATTCATTTACCGATGTGGTCTTAAAAAACAGAACTCCGTCGTTAAGCGAGGAGAGGCTATATAATGAAAAGTTTACACCTTAACAAATGATGCGATACTGATATTCTATATTAAATTATTAAACAACTTTCCTCATATACTGCTTATTCATATAATTTGTTTTTTAATAATTAGCAACACAAAAAATCCCCACAACCAGTTGCTTTTTTATGTACTGATGTGCTGGTTTTAAGCCATAAGAGAACTGGTGTGTCATTTGGTAACCTTCTCCTTGTTGACTTTTATAATTACTAGCAGCTTATATATTGTTCCACCTCAAAGAGTTAACCATCATTATTAATATTTTATTTACTGAATAATAATGTCTTTTTTTTTGTTTTGTTTTGGAAGACATCAATCACTACAGAATTATATACAAATAACCCGCACATAGAAGAGAGGAGCTTACAATGACGTTTTGGTCCGACTTGGACCATTTACAAAGTCGCTCTCTTCTATGTGTGGGTTATTTGTGTATCGTTCCAGTCACGGCATTGTGCCTTTCTTTTTGTTTGTCACTATAGAATTATTTAGTGGCTTAGTACATTTTCTTCACTTGCACAGTGATTACCTCAGTGTTCATTTTACAATTATGCATAACATGTGCGCTTTTTTCAACTCTTTTATTTTTGATGAGACAATCTTCTCTGTCCAGATATTCTTGTTTTTAATTCAAGCAAATGGCAACTTTTCTTTTATGATGTTACCAGCCAGTACAGCCATCTTCTACTTTGAAAGCTGGTTAAGCATCCTGTTCTTGATAACACTCCCAGCATCTTGGCAATAAGGCTATCATGAGTACAAGTTGTGGGGTCCATGCCCAGTTACAAGCTTGTAAGAACATGCGAGCGAGACCTGAAACACACTTGGGATACCTCGCTGCCAAGACATTAATTCAGTGTGCCATATAGAGACAAGACAACTAGAATTGAAATTAAGAGGACAGCCAGTCTGACTAGCAACAGTGGCATCCAAATCAATAGGCTGTAATTCTGCTGTAATTCAAGTGATTCACATGCACCTTCAGGGTGCTCAATATTTGGAGGAGGTTGCTAAGATGTCAATTCTATATACAATGGCACTCACTTTAAGGAAGGGAGCTGTCTAAAACAATGAGATGTGAAAGAGATTATTCTATTTAATTCAAGTCATGTTTCTTTTATTACACTGGCTGTTTCCCATATTGTAGGGTGGTCCAAAGAAAGAAACACATTCAATACCAATATTTCAATAGCCGTCTTTCTAGAAATACATGGTCATCACAATTTACTGCATTCTTTCACATTTCCAGAATTTCTATGTAATGGTCTATATTTTTACTTATTAAATGCATAAAGTAATGGGATTTACAATTTTTCATAAGATATAATCCTCTTCGGTGGGATACAGCCGGTTTGTTGAAAGAATACATTCCTCACATGAATTAACTAAAAATTAGGATTTGCCAATTGTCAAAGCCATATGAGGGTAGATTAACTGATGATACTAGAAGGACGCAGAGTGAGATATACTTTTAAGCGTCATCTCATTTTACAAGTTACGACTCAATTCCTTTTACCCATACGTATTTTCTTTTGACGTGACAGATTGTTAAGCAACCTGAAAACAAAGAGTTCCTTATTTTTGCCTCAACTCTCAACATTAAACCTGTAAAAAAAGAGTACAGGAAGGTTTCATAAAACCTTAAAATATTGCATTTAATGCTGGATTTCTTATGACTAAGAATGATGTAAAACTATAAATTTGCATGTGAATACTCAAGACTTAAAATTAACTTTCAAGAAAAATATATTTAGGATAGGTTGAACTAATGACTGTCTAAATGAGACATACATGGCTTTCAGTACCACAGTACATAACAATGTTGCTAGCAAAGTACTTTCAGCCATTGCCATGAGATTTAATGAAACTAATATATTTGTTGCATTATAAATAAAAAGTAAAACTAATATGAGAAAATTATTAGCAAAACTCTTGAGGTTAGGACTATAGAGGGTTGACTGAAGATTACAGTATGCTTGAGGTTAGGGCCATAGAGGGCTGACTGAAGATTACAGTATGCTAACACATCCAAATGATGAAAATATAACAAAACCAAAACAAATATGAGCTGCATTATATTACAGAATAGAAGTACAATATTTAGTTTCTTCTTTAGGTTAAACAGTTGGACCAAAAGTTACCCAACTTTGGTAACACTGGTAGGCAAGATATATCCCAGCCCATCCTAACAAAAGGTATAGCATGAAAAGGCTCATTAAACAGAGCAAGAAACAGTGATCTTTCTCTTAATAGAATACATGGTATTATCATTATACACAAGAAAAAGGAACATGTGACAGACCACTGGAGCAAAAATCCTAAAGCCACTGCATCTATGTAGGATGACACAAACTGCTCATATTCAGACAATCAAGAGCTGGATATTCAAGGAAAAATAACCACAGAAACTGTCATAGCTTCATGACTGGGAGTATCCTACCAATCTACAGTGGAACCTCAGTACACGAAGAGCTCCCTACTTGAACAACGCTCAGCACTCTACCAAACAAACACGGCCTGCCAGAACTTCACTGTAAACTATATTCGTATTTCTTTGCATTTTTGGTGTTTTTTCTATTATTTGTATAAATAAGTGTGAGCAGGGTAATATTTATTGAAGGGATTCAGGGAAACTGGTTATTTTTATATAGACGGACTTGAGTCTTGGAAATGGGAAGTACAATGCCTGCACTCTAAAGGAGGGGGTTGGGGGTATTGGCAGTTTGGAGGGATACGCTGTGTATCTTTATACGTACATGTATATGCTTCTAGAATGTTGTGTTCCGAGTCTAGACTGTTGTGTTCTGAGCACCTCTGCAAAAACAGTGATTATGTGTG